CGAGTCACCACCTAATCAGGTGAGTGCATAGTTACTTTCATCTTACACATAGATATGAAGTATTTTATATAAATTACGTGCTATGTGTGCATATTATCTGAATACTTGCTGTCTATGTTGGATGAATGATCTTATACACGTTTTTCATGATTTAAACTGTATATGTATTTTATATGTACAAAAATGTTGGGGTAAAACATTGGTAGATGTAATAAGACGATGTGTGATAAAATGATGAGAGGCCTCGATGTTGTTGATGATCCAGTCATCTAGCGGAGTATAGATGACGACCACGGACTCTTCTAGACAGTCCAGTGGAACGCTAGCAGGCTCGCAACCTGTAGGTGTTTGTGAACGACGTGTTCACCGGTGTACTCCATCCCCCCTGATGGTTGCCTTTAGGTCATTTATTGCTGATGAACCCCCTTAGCAGTGGTGTCATCCCGATAATGATCCTTAGTCTAGGTCCCTTATGATAGGTGTTTAGAGACGTAATGTGAGGATAACGGGAACGGGTAATCGGGTTATTGTTGGTTGATGAATTTAATAAATTATTTATTGTGGGTTGAAAACCCTATGTGCTCACCAGGCTCCCAAGCCTGACCCACTCAGTTTCATGTATTACAGGTAGTGGCGTTCGAGCATAGATGTGATGTTTTGGATGAGGGATTACGAATATAGGCCTGTAGATATGAAATAATGTAGTAAGGCTTATATTGTTCTGTTTATGCTTTTGATCTGTATCGAACATGACATCCCGAGTCTTTTAATGAAATACATTTCTTTGGAAATGCTTTTGATAAATCTTTATCATATTTTGTTTTTGGGACAAATTCCGCAACACTTTTATTTAAAATGCTACTCTGATTTTCAAACAAGCATAAACAAAATCGGTCTTTTCTGGCCGTGAAAATGGGGATGTCACAAACACTCCATGCTGATTTAGCAAAGGAGAGCGCCTTAAGGGAGGATCTTGCCCGACAAACCTCTACCATTGAAGTTCAGAAGGTTCAATTGGATCAAGTTGAAAGGGAGATTTCATTGTTGAAGACTGAGCGTGCTGTTTTCCGGAGTTGTGCTGGTGATGTTCAGAATATGCTAAACAATGTTCTTAGTGCTCATGATCCGATTCTTATGCTGACCATCCGGACTCACTTGACTTCCAAGCTTCTTCCTGCCCTTGCACTTTTACATGAAATGAAGGGTGTTTCAGAGCGATTTGTACCTCCAAAACAAGGGGAGAAGGTGTTCAGACAACTCAACCGAAAGTCACTGTCAAAACAGAACTGAAGGGTAATGAAGCTTCGGGTTCTGGAAATCAAGATAAGAAGAAGGGACTTGCTGATGATAGTGATGAAGAAGAAACAATTGCCGAAGCCCTGAAACGAAAGAAAAGGGATAAGGAATTGGATGAAACCCTTAGGGTTGCAAAGGAAGCAGAAGAGAGGGAGCGAAAGAACAAGGAAGAGCAAGATGCCTTAGTTTGCAAAAAGGCCTTGTTTCCTCCTTGAACTAAGGAAACGCTCATCAAAGAAGCGATAGAGTTTCCTAGCGTGTACTGGTTGGAACCTGTAGCTTCATTTGATTGTGAGAATTCGAGGGACTCACAGTTTGATATGCCTATAACATGAAAGGCATTCACTTTTCATTGCTTTGATTCGACTGTTCAAGTTCCCTCACCTCACCCTCAGGTTGATCGTGAACTAATCGATTTTTATCTCAAGTTCGGTCAACCTCAGTACCTGACTTGAAGTGCTCAAAAGATTACAACTGTCAAGGTGCTGAAACCTTCGCCTGCAGGGAAGTTTATTAATGTCAATTTCAAAATAACCCAAGGTTCAGACAACTCGGTTTCTGCTATTTCCCTGGCAGATCTTCCAAACTTGAATCCTCATGATTGGATCTTGTTGTTCAACATATTGCTCACAAATACGAAAGAATATGAGCTGATCCTAGATCATTTGAAGAGGATGTTGGCCTCCTATATCCATGAAGTTGCTGCAATGGATCAGGAGATTGCTAAAGTTTTGAAGAAGAAACCAACAGTAAAGCCAACTGCAAAACCTGGAGATGTGAACAAAATGAAGATGGGTCAAATTGATTCTAAACATCTCACGGTGATGTTCACAAGAGGCGAATCCAACATATTTCTTTTCGCTCTTGTTGATAAGCATCTGTTCTCAACGGACTGCTTAGAGAACATAATTAATATCATCCATCGATGCAAGCAGAACACTGAGGCAGACAAGAAGAACTTCACGGACATGCTTCGGTGGTATATCACTTTTCGTCATACTCTACTGGCCATTATACCGAAGGTGTTCAAGACTGTCAAGAAGTCTTCTATAGCTCAACCGAACTGAGCTTTCGGCTCCATTGACGCAAAGGGGGAGATTGTTGGGTATTTTATGTTGCGTCATGGGCTTAGTTTTGTATATCCGGATTGGGCCTGTCCATCCGTGATTATTAAGTAGGGTTAAGCTATAAATAGTGCATGCATGTATGCCTTAGATACGGTCGTAATTATTATTATTATTGCTTGGTAACCCTAAACACCTCTACAGTCGAAGTTCTTAATCGAGCTCTTCTGAGGTGTTGAAGCTTAATCATTCGACATCAGTTAAACCATTCATGTGTTCTTCATTACGTCATTTATTGTTTTTCTGCTTAGAATCTATCGATCCTACTAGAACTTTGTTCTAACATGATGTTCAGAAGGCATCAACTTCTTTTCATATTGATGAGATGGATGGTGTTAGGGAGGCTGCAACTGTTGTTGAAGAGGCATCAACTATTGATGAAGGATGCTACAACACCCCCCTGTTAATAATGCTGATCAACAATTGAATGATTTATTTGATAACCTTATGGAAAATTTGTGTAACACCCCAAAAATTCAAGCCAATTTAAAACTTTTTAAAACATTTAAAACCATTAAGTTATTACAGTTTACTTTCAGAATAATTTAAACATCAGAGTATCCCCAGAATCAATCATGAAAATGTAAGGAGGTGCACGATCACGCCTTCGCCTTCCCGCGTTCATCAGAATACCTGAAACAATAATCGATAAATGTAAGCTCGAAGGCTTAGTGAGTTACCCCCAAAATACCAACCTCAAATAACCATAATCATATCATATCAACAAATACAGAACAACATGCATAATGAGCCTTCAGACTGACTGGACCGCCTCGCAGGCCTTCAGTCTATCTGGACCGCTCTCCGAGCCTTCGGCACGTCTGGACCGCCTCGTAGGGCCTTCAGCCTATCCGGACCGCTCGTCGGGCCTTCGGTCTAACTATCATACCCTCCTGGGTCTGTAGTCTATCCGGACCGCCCTGGGTATGTTGGCCTTCAGCACAAAGCAGGACCGCCTCAACCCAAACCCCCAATCAAACAAACATGTGCACATACATATCATACGCTAGCATATATAACAGCCAACCGATCTAACAGATCAAATAGCATAACATCATCATATGCCCAGGATACTGACCTAACCAAGTCACTAACATATGTACAGATAATCATACGGATCTAACAGATCACATAGCATAGCAACATCCTATAACCAGGATACCGACCTAACCAGGTCACTAACATATATACAGATAATCATACGGATCTAACAGATCACATAGCATAGCAACCTCCTATAACCAGGATACCGACCTAACCAAGTCACTAACATATATACAGATAATTATACGTATCTAACAGATTACATATCATAGCAACATCCTAAAACCATGATGCAATCATAAAGGGTCGGCCTTGGTGCCGTAGACCCTGTTGATATATTGAGGAGAACTCACCTAGCACTGCTGAAGTCCCGCAGGTACACTCCAGCTGCTGATTGACAGATTCCCGAACTGTCAACATCAAACAATACCCAATTAATAATTGGGTTCCAAGCTCAAAGTCCAACTCACACTCCAAAAGCCCAAAAGTCAAGTAATGGGCCAAGGCCCAACATATGGCCCGACTTTCAAAATTGGGCCCATACCTCTACATGGTCTTTCCTTAAGGCCCATCCAATTATTCCAATCCAATTCCCATGGCCCAATATCACATAATCATAAAGGTCCAATTATGGCCCATCTATGGCCCAATTTTCCAAATTAGGCCCAAGTCCTCACATGGGCCTTATCCTAAAACCCATACAATTATTTAGTCCATTTACTTATTCTTGAAAAGCCCATTAATAGTCCAATCACCAAAACCCAATAGAAAGGTCAAGGCCCAAGTGAAATTAGGGTTTTCACATGAAATGATGATTAGGGTTAAGTGTTCCTACTTAACCCATTAATGACTTATTCCATTAAGGACTTAATCCATTAAGTCCAACATTGCTTTAGATTAATTTGCCAATGATTATTATTTAATATTTCAAGTTATTAAATAATTCCCGTGTGTGTCCCGATCAATTCCCAAAATTAGGGTTTCATGGCATTAGGGTTTTCCAAACCCTAATTAGGGTTTCCAACCCAATACTGGCCCATTAATCAAATGGTTGGGATTTTAGGTCACTTTGGGCCTCATTGGGCCCATTAGGGTTTTATTAGGTCAATTAGGGTTTCCTTGGGCCCATTAGGGCTCCATTGGGCCCACTAGGGTTTCATGCATCCCAAACGAATCAACACAACAAGGCAAAGCACACCGCCACCCGACACGGCGGCCGGTGGCGGCAGGAGGCGGCAGCCACCACCTCACGGTGGTGGTTATGGATTTTTCTATTATTATTTCAGGCACCAAGTACAATTTACAACTCAATCCAAATAAAACACACACATACACACACACACACACACTAATAAAACACACACACACAGTACACCCACCTAAGCACACAGAAATCACACACACACACACACAGCCACCTTCCATGGTGGCTGGTGGCGACGGAAACATAGCAGCAAGCGGCGGCCACCATGGCTAGCGGCCATGGTGGTTCCTTTCCTCAATCTCCGGCCAGCATCACGCATATATGACTTCTCGCTACTGAAGCACGCAACCAAATGTTGGTCTAAAATGAACCACGCACCCCACACAACCACTCCGTGGCGGTAGGCGGCGGCTAGCAGCGGCCAGTGACGACAGAACTCCCCCCTCGTCAAAGGCTGCTCGAACAATAGCAACAGCAGCCGAGGAGCGGACCTGCTGGTGGTCCTCGGCGTCATCATCAGCTCCCTCAGCAGTAATGGTGGGTGGTTTACGACCCCAACAGTAGGAGAGACAGCTCCGTTAAAGTGGTAGCACGGACGTCACATTGGAATGGAATAGGGATAGGTGGCAGTCGAACAGCAAGACGAAACTCGATGGTCTTTGTTGCCGGCAACAATGGTATCGGCGGTCTTTGGTGATCAGAACAGGGATAAGTCGATGGGAGAGGCGGCTAGACGTAGAGGATGGCGGCTGAATGTTTTAGAGCATTTAGGGTTAGGGTTCCCTGGTTGCTACGCTATATACCGGCTCTCCTAAAAACTTTGAACCATAATGACAAAATTAGTCCCTCCCCCTCTACATTCTTTCAAAACTAATCCTTAATTTCCCTTTTTAACCCCTGCCTTCAAAACTCTTTACAAATTGAGTCCAAAATTTACCATTTAGCCCTTAGCTTCCATCATCTCTTCATATTAAGTCCCAATAATTACCCCATAGCCCCTGCCGTCATAATTATTTACGAAACTAGTCCGAAACTCACATTTTAACCCTCGGAAATCAAAAGTATATTATTTGGCACCCCGAAACCAACACTTTATTAATTATTATTCGATTTTAGGCTCAAATAATATAAAATAATAATAATAATTACTTCCCGAGGTTCCTGATTTATTATTTAATTAATCTCTTTAAAATGGGATGTTACAATTTGATTGGGAGTGATGAAGATAATGCAGAGTATGAAGGAGATGGAGAATCCGAAGAGGGTAATCAAGAGTATGAAGAGGATGATGAACATCAAGAAAGTGATCCACAGTATGAAGAGTATGATGATTCTCAAGATGAGAAACAAATAGAAGATGAAGATCATGTGGATGACATAATGGATGTTGACAACAATATTCAGGATGTGGATGTGGACATGGGAGACTTCACTCTCAATGTTGAAAGTGATGTGGAAGGTTCTTGTATAAATGTTGTTCATGGGCATGAACCTGAAGATATGGAAGTGATCAACAATGAGGAATTTGAATCTTTGGATGAAGGATCTGACCAAGACAGAGAGAGAAGAGCTCTTATCAAGAATTTGAGAAAAGAAAAAAGGTGCAGTCTTGGGGCAGTACATAAACAATCATTTTTAGTTGGAGATAAATTTAATAGTAAAAAAGAATTAAAGGAGGCAATTGATCTGCATGCACTATAATCAAGAAGGAATCTTTTCTTTAAAAAAATGACAATGTAAGGCTTAGGGCACAGTGTAGAGGAGTTGTACCTGTCACCAATAAAGGCCAAGTGGGTAGTCAAGCTACCACTTCAAAAAGAAAGGGTAAAGAATTAAAGACACAAAAAGTAACATGTGGTTGGTATATTCATGCATCTAGGTTAAATCCTGAATCCAACTGGTTTATAAGGACCTTAAACCAAACTCACACATGGTTGCAAACAAGGAAACTCAGGGCTTGTACTGCTTCTTTAATCAGCAAGAAAATCTTTGATCAAGTTGAGGCAAATCCAGATATACCTTTGAGAGCCATACAAGATCACTTTCAAAAGACCTACCGGGTGGGTGTTACTATGGACAAGGTGTTCAGGGCAAAGGATAAGGCAAGAAAGCATATAGAAGAATTTCAAGGTGTTCAGGGCAAAGGATAACTGGGGACTACACAAAGCAGTATGAACAGTTGAGGGACTATGTTCTCGAACTTCAAGCTACCAACCCAGACACCACAGTGAAAATAGATATATGTTCTGAGCCTAACCCTGATTCCCCAACCAGGCAGTTTAGAAGAATTTATGTGTGTTTGGGTCCACTGAAAAAAGGTTTCAAGGCATGCCTTAGGGACTTATTAGGTTTTGATGGTGCCTTCATGAAAGGACCATTCCTTGGGCAGGTCCTTTCAGCAGTTGGTCTTGATTCCAATAATGGAATTTACCCATTAGCATATGGGATTGTTGAGTCTGAAAACACAGAAAGATGGAAGTGGTTTTTAGATAACCTTGGGGATGACTTGGACCTTGGAAGAAACTCAAATTTTACTTTCATAAGTGACAGGCAAAAGGTAAAGCTGGAAGTGGTTTTTATACATTTAGTCATTTAAAGTGTGGTTTTTAGTTAATTCTAATGATTGACAATTGATTCATGCAGGGTTTACATACTGCAGTTGATCAATTGTTTCCCAATGCTGAGCATAGATATTGTATCAGACATATTCATGACAATATGAGGAAAAGATGGAGGCAAACAGAGTACAGGGACCACTTATGAAGGTGTGCATCAGCTACCACCATTCCTGAGTTTACACATTTGATGAAGGAGTTTAGTCAGTATGATAAGGAGGCATGTGAATGGTTGAAGCAAATTCCTCCTGCACATTGGGCAAGGAGTCATTTTTAAGGTAATTCTATATATTCCAATTTGGTCCTTATGTCTTTCACTTAGTGAACTGTTATACTTGTATGTTAATTGTATTAAATGTGTTTTAATGGTAATGTACTAACAGGAAGAGCAGTTTCTGATATGTTGATATCAAACATGTGTGAAGTGTTTAATGGGAAGATAGAGAAAGGAAGGGATAAACCTGTCATTGGATGTTTAGAATACATAAGGGAGTATCTAATGAAGAGGATATACAATGTCATGAAGGAAATGAAAAAGGCTAAAGGTCCACTAACTCCCACAACAACAGACATCCTAGATGCAATAAAAACAGTTGCTTCACAATACATTGCTAGGTGGAATGGGGAGACAAGTATCAAGTCACAGGAGCTTTGTAGGATCAACATGTGGTTGATGTTAGGAACAAAACATGCACTTGCAGAAAATGGGAATTAATTGGAATTCCATGCAGACATGCAATTACAACTCTGAATGAGATGAGTAAAGACCCAAAGGCTGAGCTTGACATTTACAAATGGGTTCACAAGGTGTATTTTCTAGAGACATGGAAAAAGGCTTATTCTTTTAAGGTGGAGCCAATTAAGGGGAGATCCATGTGGCCCAAAAGTGAATGTCCCACAAAGCTAATCCCTCCTCCACATCGCACTCAGGTGGGAAGGCCTAAGAAAAAAAGAAGACAAAGTGAGGGTGAAAGGTTAAGCAAGAAGCAGAGGGCAAGTCAAGGTGATGGAGTGAATGCTACACAAGAAGGAGGTTCCCAAAAACCAACAAATGATGGAGTGCAAAAGCTATCAAGGAAGCATATCAGTGTTACTTGTAGCAAATACAAGAACAAGGGACACAACTCTAGGACCTGTAAAGGGCAATGTGGGAATCAGTCCAAGAAGTAATGTGTCATGCATGCATGGGGTTTTCTGTGATTTTGGTTAGTTATGAAAACTTGGTTGTTATGTTTACAATATTTTGTTGAAAACTTTTGGTTGGTTGCTATGAAAACTTGGTTGTTATCTTAGGTATGGTAATGTGTCCCTTTTGGTCATGTTTAGAATCTTTGGTTGTTATGTTTAGAAACTTTGGTTGTTATATTACAAATCTTAATGAAATGTGCATTTTGGCTATGTACAATTGGTTCTAATATATACATTTTGGTAATACATTCATACCATTTCTATTCATATGTTAATTCTGATACATTCATACTATTTTGGTAAAACATTCATTAACATGATAAGTCACTACAAACGTGATCACATAAAATTACAACAAAATGACCAAAATACCCTTCACAGTATACCCCTACACAAACCAAATACAGAAGAAGACAATCACAAAAAAAAACCAACTTCCAAACAAGTACATTTTCAGCTTCAAATTGCCATCCTTCAATGCTTTGCAATTTGCCACCAACATGTTGTTCCTGCATATCAGTTCATTGCATTGATCTTGTAGCATGTTCATACTTGTAACCAACTCATTGCATCGTTCCTGCACTGAATTCAAATTTCTTAGCAGACCAGGTATGATGGCTTTAGACCTAGCACACATTAGGGGATCAAGCCAACCGATAAACCCACAAACGGAATCATTCATAGGGCATGCAAAAAATCTCCTTCCTGGATTCATAGGGGTCTAAGACGTTTTCACCACAACAACTTTTCCACAAAAACATAGAACCATTTTTTGTGTTGTAGCAGAGCTCAGGAAAAAGAAGGGTAGAAGAAAAGAGACGTTGGGGAGCGTTGGGGAAGAAGATCGCAGGAAGGTGGGATATTTAAAAGGAATTAAGCCAAAAAACGTTTATGCAAAAATGGTCCCTAACATATGAAATGACGATTTTACCCTCACGTGTGAGGCACATGAGGGGGCTTAACAGATCCTACTTAACAGGAGTTAAGTCCAGGGACCAAAACCACATACAAACCACTCCAAAAGGACCATGGATCCAAAAACTCGTGGTTTGGACTAAAACCCCAAAATTTTGCATACCACAGGGACCATTTTTGCAATTTTGTCTAATAATTATTATTACTTTAAGACAAAACTTCAAAAATGGTCCTTGTGGTTTCCGAAAATATGAAGTTTGGTCCCTAATTTACAAAAACCTCACGGATTGTCCCTGTGGTTTCAAAACTTTTTAACATTTGGTCCTTCCGGCTCACTCCGTTAGCATTTTACCGTTAACTCATTTTTCAATATTATATTGCAGGGGCAATTTCGTCATTTTAGTTGTAACCTTCTCTCTTTAATATGAAATGATTACCTATTGTTTGCACGTCAACTCACTACCTGTCCCTCTCCCAAGAAGATAACCAGTTACATTTGTAATCATCGGGTTCATTCCCATCGTAGAAGCAAGAACAAAAATTGGGATTTAGGGTTTAAGCAGAAGGAATTGCAATGGTGTTATCAATATGGTGTTTTTGAGAAAAATTTGCAACCGTGTAGGACTTGGGAAAAAGATACAGTACGATACTACAACAAAAAATTGTTTTTTCTTGGTCGATTGTGTTCACGTAGAGAAATCATTGACTTTACTCTTTCTTTTTTTGTGTTTGCAGAAGGATATGACAACTATTTCACGTTGAAGATACACTACAATGGTGTCTTCACCAAAGCACCTAGAAGGAAATACGTTGATGGTGTTGTAGCATATGTAGATGATGTTGACACTGATTTATTTTCAGTTCATGAGCTTGATGACATGGTCCGAGAACTAGGGTACAAAACTGAGCAAACCCTTTACTACCATTTCTGTATCCCTGAATACCCTTTAGACTATGGCTTAATGCCTTTAGGTAATGACCAAGATGTACTTAAAATGGTATATTGAAAATGGCTAGACAAGGGTAGCTAGTTATTACAAGTCTCCTTCTAAAGTTGTTATTGAAGAGTTGGAGCCTGATAGTGTGTCACCTGAAAGGAATAGAAAGAAGCCTTGTAGGAGAGAAGCATGATCATGTAGTAGAAAGCTTGATTTAAACTAGTCTGTGAACCCTGATTATGAGCAGTCACAAGTATTAGATGTTGATGAAGGGCATGATTACTCAAGAGTATTCTGCTATATATAAGGTCACAAGCTAGCAAACAAAGTCATCTCATTCAAGAGGAAGTGGTCAATCATGAAATTGAAACTCAAAAAGAAGTGATCACTAGTGCAGTTGAAACTGAAGAACCAGTGGGAACTTACCATGTAGAGGAACCAAGTTGCCAAGCTGATGATGGAGCTAATACTGCAACAGTTGATGACTTTGAACCATTTGTAGAGGATTATTCACTTTATGCTGATTATGATGCTGGGTTTAATGTTCAAACTTCATGTGAACAACAACCAGAAGTGGATTATCTAGAGGGTATGGTGAGTGATGATAGTGGAGAGGCTTTTTATTCTGAGAGTGGACATGGTTATGAGGGTAGTGGAGATGATTATGATGATAGTGAATACAATGTGGATAAGTCTAACATACAATTTGATGTAGATGTAGACATGAGTGAATTCCATAACGCTGTTGTTGTAGATGAACATGGAATCTTAAACAATCATTCAAAAGATGAAGGGAATGACATGGTTGATAATGAGTTGGAAGTTATTGCGACTGATGATTATCAATTTGCGGGATTTCATGAAAATGATAGGAAGAGACTGCTAAAAGAGTTGAGTAAGTCAAGTAGATGCTCACATGGAGAGGTTCATGTAAAACCATTTCAGATTGGCCAGGTCTTCAAAACCAAGCGTGATGTTAAAAACTACATGAACTCACATGCTGTAGAAACAAGGAGGTCTTTATACCTAGCAAAAAATGACAAAATCAGGATTAGGGTGAAATGTTAAGGTGTTGTAAGTAAGCCATCTAAAGAAGTTGATGGTGGTGGGCCCTCAACTAGAAGTAGGGCAAAGTGCAAGGGTAAAGATGTAATTGCCAATAAAGGTACATGTCCATGGGCAATCCAAATATCTAGGGCTAATGAAAATCAGGATTGGTTGGTGAAAACTGTACAAGATGAGCATAAATGTTTGCAAACAAGGGTGGTTAAAGCTTGCACTTCCAGATACGTAGCAAACTTAATTGTTCAACAAATCTAGAGTAACCCTAGAATTCCAGTGAAAGCTTTACGCGAAGAGTTGTGCAAGAAACTAGAGCTAGGAATGTCATTGTAAAAGGTTGTTAGGGCAAAGACAATGGCTGAACGTATCATTAGTGGGGACTGCCAAGTACAATATGTATTTTTGAGGGATTATGTGTTGGAGCTACTAAACACTAATCCTGGTACAACAGTTCAGATTAATGTGTATCCAGAAACCTCCACGTCTATTACCACAAGAACTTTTAGAAGAATATATGTCTGTTTGGGTGCATTGAAGTTGGGATTCAAAGCTGGGTTAAGAGATTTTCTAGGCGTGGATGATACTTTCATGAAGGGCCCTTACCCTGGGCAAGTGTTAACTCATGTAGGGTTGGACTCAAACAATGGCATATACCCTGTAGCATATGCAGTGGTAGAGACAAAATCAACAAGTAGTTGAACCTGGTTCTTGGAACTGTTAGGAGAATATTTGGATCTTGGAGCAAATTCAAACTTTACATTCATTTCTGATAGACAATAGGTATGTATCACCTAACTTTTTTTTCTTAGTACTATTGCTAGATACATTTGGGTAACTGATGTTGCATACATTGAATTTTGTTTAGGGAATAATACTAGTAATTGAGAAGGTATTCCCCAGTGCAGAACACAGGTTCTGTTTGAGGCATATCCAGGAAAATATGAAGAAATAGTGGAAATGAAAAGACTTAAGTGACCAGCTTTGGGAGTGTGGTAGAGCAACAACAGTCTATCACTTTAACAGAGCAATGAATGAGGGTAAGAAGATCAATAAAGAGGCTCATGCTTGGGTGTGTAAGATCCCAACAAACACTTGGTCTAAATCTCACTTTAATGGTATGTTTGTAGAAATTTATTAATAAATGTTAATATTTCCTGTTGTGTGTTTACTATATGTGTAATTGTCTTCTCTTAATATCTATTATTCAGGTAGGGCACACGCTGATTGTTTGTTGAATAACCTTTGTGAGGTATTCAAATCTAAGCTAGATGAAAGTAGGGATAAACCTATTATCACTTGCTTAGAGTATATTAGAGAGTATCTCATGAAGAGGTTATGTGTGGTGCAAAAGGAAATAGATAAGTGTGAAGGACTTTTAACCCCTACTGCAACTACAGTGTTTGAAAAGATTAAGACTGATGCAGCTAAGTATGTGGCTAAATACAATGGGGCAGGAAAGTACCAAGTGGCAAACACATGACAAGATCAGTATGTGGTAAACATGAATGACCAAAGTTGTGGTTGTAGGTTTTGGGAGATTACAGGTTTCCAATGTAGACATGCTGTTTGTGCTATATGGGACAAAATTGAAAATGGTGAAAATGCCCCACATGTTGATGAATGGGTCCATCCTTGCTATAGGTTATCAACATGGAAAGCCATGTATTTCAACAAAATTAATTCATTGAATGGACGTTCAATGTGGCCTAAAAGTGACTGCCCATTCACTTTACTTCCACCAAAACATAAAGCACAGGTTTGTATTTCAAGTAGACCAAATATATAGTATACATGTGAACATGGAATGAATTCAGTTTTAACTATAGTATATCAATATGTGTAGGTTGGGAGGCCTAAGAAGAAGAGAAGGAGGGGTGTTGATGAGCCAAACAGCCAAGCTGGTAAATTGAGCAGGAAATATCTGGCAGTCACTTGTTCAAAGTGTCATAACAAATGGCACAATTCCAGAACATGTAAAGGGCAGGGAGGCAGTGGTGAAGTTGGAGGGGGCTGAAAACTATGTTTAGTAGTTATTAGGATGCTTGTGTTGTAGGTCTTTTGAAACTTAAGTCATGTGTACTTGTTTGAAGATGTAATGGCTGTATGTTTAGTAGTGTCATCTTTATTTGTTTTGAAACTTAGTATGATGGTTGTGTTAAGAACTTTAAAACTTTGCATGTAATGGTGTGTATGCACATTTTGGTAATGAATTAATCTGTTTTGTGTACTAGCCTTCAAAGATCAATTTATAACATTGTACATTTCAATTGCAAATCAAAACCATCTTAAAGATGCATTTACAATACACTTAACAATTGCATTTCAAAAACATTCAAGAAATTCAACAATCAACTATAATAAACTACATTCCATTACCATTACCATTACCACTCCATTACACATTAATCTGATACATAAACCAAATACAACAACACCAATTCCAAAACCCCCTACATAAACTGAAAGCAAAAAAACCCTTATTCGATTAAAATCACAAAAACCCCTGCAACGGTTACAAACCAAAAACAAAAACTCCATTACCATCCAAACTTTCACAAGATACTTAGAGATTAAAATAAAACCAAAAAAAGAACACCCATGAACAAAACAACATCAACTGGTAGTTACACAATTTTGCACTCACAATGGCAACCCTCTCTTCCAATCGGTTCATTGATCTTATCAAACCTGGAATCACCACCAATGCCCTAGCACACATAGGAGGATCAGACCATCGAAGGAACCCACATATTATACAGTTCCAAAATTGTCTTCCAGGGTTACGATCCGTCCATGAAGTGATCTTCATTGCTTCATTCCCACATCTGCAAGTCACCATCTTTGAATCAGAAGCGATTGGATGTCGTAAAGGGTGCAACGGTCAAGCAACAGTGGAAATGAGTAGAGAGATGAGGATCGCATAAAGGTAAAGGGTTGCCCAAAAATCGGACATGCAATTTCTTTTATAAAGAGAAGGTTACAACTGAAATGACGAAATTGCCCCTGCAATATAATATTGAAAAATGAGATAACGGTGAAATGCTAACGGAGTGAGCCGGAAGGACTAAATGTTAAAAGTTTTGAAACCACAAGGACGATCCGTGAGGTTTTTGTAAATTAGGGACCAAACTTCAGATTTTCGGAAACCACAGGGACCATTTTTATAGTTTTGTCTTACTTTAATATACAATGGGTCCCACCTCTCTCTTTCTCTCTCTCTCTCTCTCTCTCTCTCTCTCTCTCTCTCTTTCTCATGTCCATTTTCGTCCCAAAAAATCCAGGTGCTTTCTTAGTATCTCTCTCTATACATATAAAAATATGTCATATGTATCCATCTGTGTACAAATCTTTTTCAACTTACTGTTTCCATTCAACAATTTTAGTGGTAATTTTGTAGCCTTCGATTCCAAATTTAAGGTTTTAAGTCTTTTATGATCTGAGTTTTCTTCCATTTTCTTTGTGATGAATTTGCAGATCTTTATTTAGGTTTCAGATCTGGCGGAAGAATTAGAACCAAAAAATAAACCAAAAAATACACACACATGGTTGATGCAGAAGAGAAACGATTGAAGCAGATTTAGAACAGGGCTTGTAAGTCGATTTAGCCAACACCGATGCCATCATTTGATTTTATCGATTTCGAAAAGTTTCATTGAGTTCGTCGAATGATCGAGTTGAGATTTCCAAGACTTCAGGTGACGCCACCTCCAGGGGTAAACCTCCATCGTCAGAGAGACCGTACGGGTGTTCATCCCTAAAAGCTTCGTCTTCCCTAACCCCATCTAAACTATGAAACTGATCATGTTCTTCCTCATGGTTCTCAATAAAACCTGTATCGAGTAGGGTTTCACCATCAGTCGAACCGAAATCGAAATAGGTAATCGCCCAATCCACGGTGTGGTTCTGTTCAGAAACAAATCGAGTCTCCACCTTAGTGAGTTGTATCTCATTCGTATGATTGAAATCAACATATTCTGCAGCGTCGACGTAGGTTTCTTGTTCGAAAGAGTCGAAAAGGGCTGGTTGAGATCCAAATTATCTGTCTGTGGAAACCTTTGTAGAAACCGGTTGTACATCCTGGTGATGAGGGAAAGGGTGATTGAAGACGTATTGTGTAGTAGCAACGATTTATTGAGTTTCCTGCTGTTGGTGGTGGTGGGGGTGGGTCATCGAAGATGAGGACAGTGGGAGTTGAATCAGTTGTTCATGGATGCTCATATCAATGGTATAGATTGCAGATTCTTCCATCTTGTACTTCTTTATTGGGTAATGCATGCTTGTCACTTGAGAGAGAGAGAGAGAGAGAGAGAGAGAGAGAGAGAGACCAATTGTAAATTAAAATAATTATTTTTTTCTTTTTTTTTAAATAACAAAAACTCATAAATGGTCCATGTAACATAGTGAAATGACGGAAATGCCCTTCACTTAACAGACAAAACTTGATGGAGTTAACAATAATGACCTTTTGTTAAAGGTTTGAAACCACATAGACAATCCGTGAGGTTTTTTAAAATTAGGGACGAAAGTTCATATTTTATAAACCACTCGATTTTAAAGTGAATTGTTCGTTTAAGTTAGAAATAATTGATTAATTAATACTATAACAAAAAAAATATTAATATACAAACCTGATGATTGATGAATTTAATTGAATATGAAGATTGAATGCAATTTGATCAATTCTTTAATCGATGTGCCTCAATAGGTGAATTATTTCATTTATTATGAATTTTAATTTTGAATGGAGTGTGTCATATCACAATTCACAGCCTTAGTGTTTTTTATACAAAATAAATATAAATTACATATATAATATATATTTCACTTTAAATTTGTGTGGGGTCGGCCAAGACTCACTTTTGCACATATATAACTACGCCTCTGAGTCATGCAACTTTCTATAACATTGCAAGTGTGATAGCACATTTCACAGTATGTTGCTATAAATAGTTGTATTTGGAGTTACATACAACATCTATAACAAAAAAAGTGACCATTGTTTACCAACAATATACAACCAAAGATGTATAAACCATACGTCTAATTCAGGTCCACATGTTTCTCAATTGACCTCCCTTCTTCGTCTTTGTTGTAAATAGGTTAGGCGAGCTTGTTGAGTATTATCCTTTATCCTTTTAGATTTACCCTCATTTTCTATATAATGTTAGGGACAATACTTCGACATGTTACATAAGAGGTCCTTAGACATGTTCCATCGAAGGTTCTTGGATTGGTTGCTCCTCGAAAGTTTATAAATGAAATCGTAGCTTAGCCATCAAAGGTTTTTATTATTTACAAAAGCGTATATCTTTTAAGATGGGATAAAAATAAAAAATCAAACTATAAATTAACCTGTGATGTGGCTGCCAAGTGGATACGAAATCAAGGATAACTAGTAAAAAACGTGAGCAATGGTATAATAAACCAAAATAAAAAGGTTTGTTGGTTAATTAGGTACAATTACAAGTTTAGTGACTTGAAGATCAAAAATTATGTTATTGTTACCGTTCTATAACTTTTTCCCTAATTATGTACATCGCATTGATTATAGAAATATATTTTTGTAATTAAAGTGGTGTTATCATAAATATATTGTTTTGTCCACGGGTAAGGTGCATGCAAACGAGAGATATCGAGTTCGAGTATTCTCCTCACCATTATTTTCATTTTTTTTATAAAACTCTCGCGTGACATGACATCAACAAAAAATGCACAACCAGTGTGAACATGAAAAAAGGTAAAACGAGTGAAATTAACAACTTGAATAAAAACTATGGCATAATATTAAAAAAAATAAGTATTCTGGGTGACACCATAGTTTCACTTAGGGATGAGCAAAGAAACCGACCCGGCTGGAACCGGAACCGGCCCGGGATCCGAACCTGGTGGAAAATAGGAACCGAACCGGAGCCAGTTCTACCGGTTCAGGTTCCTACCGGTTATTGCTGTGTATTCAATGTTGGAACCGGCCCTCGAGAAATAGCAACATACGGTTCCGGTTCTTACCGGTTCCCGGTTCCAAAAATCCACAAGAATATTGTCCCGGTCCCGGCCGGTTCCATCGGGTTCCGGTTCCGGTAGCGGTTCCGACCGGTTCCCCGGTCCATATGCTCATCCGTAGTTTCAGTTTAAGTAAATCTGAAGCCGGTGATAAAAGGTAAAAGAAAATATAAAATTCGAAAGTTGAATGCACATTATGGGGTAAAATCGGATAAAAGAAAACAAAAATGATAAACCGTTAAAAAGTTGAAAACAACTATTTTTCTGAAAATATCCTTGTATATATTCAAAAACTTTCGGAAACACAAAAATATTATTCTTTAATAATTGTAGTTTCGTTATCTAATATTTGTCGTCGTCTTAGCCATTCGATTGGATTTTTCTCAAAACTCATATTGTTATTGGATCTTGATAAAACTCGTTTTTGTATAAGATCTCTTCGAATGCCATCATCTTCATCTCCCTCTAGATCGGTTGTTGATAAACCTTGAGCTTGATACCAAATGTGTGTATTTGTTTGATTCCATCCAAATAATCTTTCACACAAGCTAACCTTCATCGGTTGCAGCAGTGTAAGTTTTGTTCATCACTGCTACACCTTTTTAACTGATACGCGTAACCAGACACATGGTGGCTTGGGTTTGAAAATGTTTTCCTTAACTTTAACCCGGCCATTATAACCAAACTTTTTAAACCGGTTAAGTTCGGGCCATAAACAACTCCATTACCAGGCCTTTTGCAGCACAGTATGTATTAAGCCCAATGAAAAGTTGGCCAACACCTAATATTTAACCATCCTATTGAAACTTGATACACAAACAACAGAATGAATATATACAGACACATATTATCTCATCTTTTAACAAACTTCATCATTTTTAAATAAGTATTTACTTTATGAGGAATGAATGGGAATGGAAGGACCCCTTGTTTATAATATTCGTTTTTTTGCTTAAAATATTACGTGAAGGATTTGATGCCTCCAAAGATGATTGTTTATTTGTGTAAGAAATTAAAGGTTGGACAAATAAGTCATAAGTGTATTGCACTACGGATTTTGGTAGTTGGAGTTTCAATGTCATTATTCAAGGCTAGAATTCCCCAAAATAGCCTATTTTTTGTCCACAGGAATTTCCAATGCACACATCATTTATGTTCCTTTTAACATTTACTTTTTCATTTTCTTTTTATCCCAAAAAAAAATTTGATTGATTTATAGTAATTGAAATAGCCAGTGTTGTACCCTACGTAGTACTGTTGGTACATTGGAAAGCACAGAAGTAGGACATTAAAGACCCCAAAAATCTGAGAGGACCAGATCAGACAAGAACCAAAAGCCATCCTTTTATGAGAAAGTACCTTCATTCTATTAATAATATAATAAATAAACTCTTCACAAAATCATTACCAAAATTTCAAAGCTAGAATTTTTATTAATTTTCATAAGCATTGCCAAAATACACTTCACTCCCTACTTTTGACTTGCTTACATCTGCACTATGGATAATTACCAAATTATATATATTTTTGTAATTGGATATGGAAAACAAAATTGGTACTAAAATAAAGAAAAAACAAAATGGAAATAGATAAATATTATAGAAATAAAATATTAATGACCTGTTGTGTGGATATTTCCTATTTTGACCTTCGTTTCGAAGGGACTGCTGCTTTTGAGATTGATCTATGAGTCGACGACGACGTCCACCGTACCAACGGCTCCACCACTGAATCTCTGTACTTATACGGCAACACCTGATTCCTCCCTCGCTTTGATTTCACAACCGGCGATGTGTCCTCGAACTCCGCGTACCATTCCGCTTCTGTCGCCGCCGTCCAACATTGCTGCTTCCTTTTCGCTCCTCCTCTTGCCGCCGCCGATGCCTCCACTCGTTTGCTTCTTGCCGCCGGTTTTTTCTCGTCGCCGAGAATCAATTGCGCCGCTTCGATTAACAGACCTAAATATCCTTCATCTCTATGTTCTTCTTCTTTTACTACTGCTACTACTACTTCAGAGGCTCCATTGTAATCGATTCCCGAGCTCTGATCTCCTACATGCGAGATCTCCGAGTGCTCCGTCGCTCTCTCCTCCTCAACCGCCAACTCTGATTCCTCCGCAACAAAGGATTCGCTTTTGCTCCGATCATTCTTCTCGAACACGCAATTTTCATTGTCTACCGTCGCTGGAGCCTCAAAAGGCTCAATCTTCGTCGGAGGACGGTCAACAGCAAACCCTTTATTTTCACAAATCTCTTCACGATGGCTTGAAAAGTTGTTATCCGTTACATCGACTGTTGGGAAAACGGAAATTATGTTAAGAATCTTGAAGAAGCACATTTGTGCTTTGGAGCAGCGGCGACGACGAGGCTCGGCGGAAAACGACAACGGCAACGATAAGCGTAACTGAGTTGGTTGATTATGCGGTGGAGCCATGGAAGCGACGGCGTAGGGCCAGTTTAATCCGATTAAATTATTCGAGGAAGTGTATGATTTGGAAGGAAGATCTGTGACGGCAAAACCCCATGAGAGAGAAAGAGTGTGTAGAGAGAGAAAGAGAGAAAGAGAGAAAGAGAAGAAACGAAAGACACAGTTGCAATGGATTTTCTGTTAACAGCCCTGTTTTTATGCTTCGCGTTTTACTTTTTTCAGTTTTACTTTCATTTCCTCTTTTATATTCAACTTCGGAGGTTGTTTTCTTTTATTAAGACTACTAAATACAAATTTTCTCCCTTCACTATCCCTTAATATACATAATATGGTCCCTTTAATTTTTTCTCCCAATTTAATCTATTATTAATATCTTCTCCATTCTAAAAGAGTAGTTAACTCTTCTCTGGTCACCTTCCGTTGAAGTTCGTTAAAAAAATATAAAGAAAACAGAAATATCAAGCAAATATATTTAAAGATTTGTGATTCTAATTGTTTTGAGTTTGATATCGATTAGGTCCATTGATAAGATCTAAGTATCCAAACAACATTTTGATAGTAAGGGTTTGTTTGTTTTTTTTAAGAAAAACCACTTCATCTTTATAGTGAAAAAGAATGATGTTTTTCAATTGTTTGTTGACATGGCTTATAAAATATGTTATATCATGTAGTAGTGACCTAAAAAACAAGGGTACATTTACTTTGCCCCATAAAACACAAAAAAGAAAAAATAATAAATGGACAAATTTAAAATACTTTGTTGGACAAATTTAAAATACTTTGTTGGACAAATTTCTCAAAGTCTTACCTAACAATACAAGTATTTAAGGATTGATTATGGACATTAAGAAAAAATGTAACATAATCACAAGAAGCAAATAAAGTACAATGGTTACAAGAAGCAAATAAAGTACAATTTGATTTGTTGAAAGCCTAAAAGTATTTTGATCTTGATTGTGTGGATACATATATTGTCAATCAATTATGATTGTCATCTCCTACACCAAAGGAATCCCTCCCACACTTCTAATGTATAATCCAAAAAAACACCTTATGGTTATGTTAGTTGATTTTTAGTAGTCTTAATTGGATTAGCTTTAAACCTTGTAAATTTTGAAATATTGTAACCTGTAGCATTTTCTTTTCTGTTAATTATTTATAAAATTGACCAAACCCCAACAAATTAACGTATTGTATATTATGCCTAATTTTTTTTAAACGTATAAGATTTGCTTGTTAATTTCAAACCTTACTAATACATCAAGTAACATGATCATAACTAACAACTTTATTATTATTTTTTTTACGTTTACAATTTTCTTCACTCATGTCATTTGACATATAGACCTTTAAATTAAAGCTAGAAAACTTGACCATGTTTTTTAAATTAACTAAGATGCAATCACATATTGATCAAAACCTAGATCAAAACCTAAGGGAATGATCTCCTTGGTTTATAATAACGGAAAAGTTAGTACCATGCATACTTATAGATATTTATCTCTACCTGGAAAAGACCCATTTTGTAAATTTATAGTCGCTATTCATATCTGTTTGTTGATGCATGATTACGAGATGAAATCATCCTCGGGGAAGAGAAGGATAATTGTAATGTCCGCGTTTCTCGCTAGACAGTTCTTAGAAAATCAATATTTACGTCGATTGACAAATGTAAATTTTCTTACGAGTAAATGCATAAAGAATTATTTAAACATAATACGTGTTTATATAAAGGGGATATATATATATATATATATATATATATATATATATATATATATATATATATATATTAGGGGTGTCAATGTATAACACGACACAAAACGAAATCATGACGAAATCAAAATTCAAATTCGTATTTGTGCCATGTTTGTGTCAAGTTTAAAAAACACGATGTCCTGTCGTGTCGTGTTCGTGATCACAAATCGACACGAAATGGACAAGATTGAGCATGTGTTTGTCGTTTTTTTCGTGTTTGTTGTTTTTGGCGTGTTATATATGATTAAGTATGAATTAAATGAGCTAATGGTTATGTAATTTTATATTTTCGTGTCGTGTTGTGTTGTCGTGTTTTAATTGGTTCATTTTCGTATTAGTGAAGAAAACAACGACTTCATGTCGTGTCGTTTTCGTGTTACACAAAATCTTGTCGTGTCGTGTCGTGTTAGACAAAAATACGGCACGACAACCCGATTTAACAACCCTAATATATATTATGTGCTTGTAGTTTAGGCAGATATTATATGTATATAATATTTGTATAAAAACTTATTTTAAAACTTAATAAAGTGAGTTAAATAAATAATTAAAAATAAAAGTGTAATTAGGATAAGTAATTTAAACTAAAGTCGCAGTAATCATGATTACGAACTCGTGCATATAAAGAATGCCTAATTCTGACTTCGTATAAGGAAATTATGATTTTTCAAAGTTTCGCGTTCAGCTCAACATGACATTGTGTGTCATAAAAAGTGAAATGATGAACAATTGCTTTTTAGCCAAATAATATATATATATATATATATATATATATATATATATTGTAACGACAGTGTCCCAGCTATTTTCATTTTTAGCTTGATCCATATAAAAGTTTACAAATTTGGTCCCTACGTTGGGCGTACATGATAAGTACACCAGACGTAGGTCATTAAAGCATGATCGCGGTTCTTAGGTGTACACTGGGCGTACATATGAGTACGTTGGGCGTATTCATGAAGAGGTGAAACCCTAAATTTTAGGGTTTGGACCCTATTTAAGCACCTTATGAACCCAAGGTTTCTCTCATTACCAACCTTCGTTGTCCCCTAAAGCTTATATCGAAACCCTAGCCCCTTTAGAGATAGTCATGAGCCTTTTGAGTGATTTGGTGTATCTTGGTGCATTTTGAAGAAGAAGTCTTGTTGAAGGTGTATTTTTTGGCTTGAAGCTTGTGGATCCAAGATCTATTCATCTTCATCATCTTCCAGAAGGTATTAAGTCTCAATCTTGATAATCCTTTGTTTTGATCTAGGGTAGTTAGGGTTTTTTGCTTGTTTTGGTCCCTTGGGTTGATTCATGTGAGTAGAAGTTACTCTAGAAGTTTAGGATGGCTTATCTTGATGTTTCTGAGGTCCCTTGTTCATAAAAATCGAATCTTGATAGTTTTGGTCCAACCATGCATGAGTTATTGACCATCATTTGGAGCTAAAAGGCTAGATCTTGGATTTGGGCTTCTTGGAGCCATGCAAAGGCATCAAGTTGATAACTTTATCAATCGAGACATTTCCAAGAGCAAGATCTGTGATTTGGACTTTTGGACTTTAGGGATTAAGTGTTGAATGTGGAGTTTAAACGTTAGGGAGTATCTTGGGCGTAACCACTGGGTACGCTCAGCGTAACATGTCCAGTCTTGTTTTTCCTTACTGTTTAAGCTTGTATGTTGGGCGTAATGAGGTGGTACGCGTAGCGTACTCACTAGAAAGCCTTTTGGGCCATTTTGGGCTTAGGTATTTTGGGCCATTGTTGGGCTTTGGGTCTTATGGGTTTGAGCCATTGTTGGGCTTTAGGTCTTTATGGGTTTAGGCCATGGTTTGAGGTTCCAATTAAGGGAAGGGTAAAATAATATTTTACCCTTAACATGTTAGATTATTGTTTGGACCATTTGTTATGGATTATTACCCTGATTATTTATTAGGGGTTAATGTTGGATATGTTTAGAATGAGGAGTCGTGTTAGTAGCAGCCCGAGAGTACGATTTATCTATCTTCATTTTGAGGTGAGTTTCCTCGCTATGCTTGTGGGTTGAAGGCACCAATTTCGGCCCACTGGATTATGTAGTAGGATAGTAGTGGTCTCTATGACACTTGTTAATATGCATGTATGTGCTTGTTGTCTTCGTGAATATTGCTAGTGTAACTGTATGATTAGTTGTACGGGGTGAAATAGACTCGTACAGGTTGAAAGATATATAAGGATTCAGAAGGGACTCGGAGATTCGGAAGGGAATCGGCGAGTCGGAATGGACTTAAGGAGTCAGAAGGGACTCGGGGAGTCGGAAGGGACTTATAGAATCAGAAGCGACTCAGGGTGAAATAGACATGTATATGTTTAGTATGATATGTATGTATGATGTATGGTATGTGGTATTTGGGGAACTCATTAAGCTTTGTGCTTACGGTTTAAGTTGATGTTTCAGGTACTTCCAGTTCGAAAGGGAAGGGTCTGGCCTGATCACAGCGCATCCACCCGTGTGCAATATTTTCTTTATGATTTTGGGATTGTAATCTGATAACTATTTTCACATTGACATGCTTTTGTTGGTTGAGATAAGTATTAAATGATTTTGGTTGACCTAAAAACAAAAATTTGTACTTATGATTTTTGGGATGTTACAAGTTGGTATCAGAGCCTTGGTTTGAGGAATTTGGGCACACTCTCAGGTGTGTTTGAACTCAAATTGATGGTTTGGTAAGTTTTTCATAAAAATGAATGATTTTCTAAAGAGATTACTACTAGAAAGAAGGGGTGTGATGCATGTAATCGGTCGAGCTTAAGTGTTCCCAGAATACACGTACATGTTTATTGATTTAGTACGTGAATATGTGAATAGCATGCTAGATTAGGCAATAAGGATCTACTCAGAATTGTAGGAGAGATGCCTTTTTATGCTTACTGTATGAGCCTTTAGAACTGCATACTAGTTTGGATTACGATTGATATGTTAGGATGGCCTATTAGGAAGTGTTATGGGTAGAACTCGATGCTCGAATGTTGCTTGCTTTTTTCTTTTAGGAACCAGTGATAATACTAGATAAACATCAATCGAATATGCTAGGTTATATGTTGCAGAAACTAGATAATTTTAGAAAGTTAGGTTTAACAATATTCCGCAGCTCTTGTCTTAGTCCAACCGATATAGTGTGGGACCTTGCAGTCGAAGAATTATCTAGTGTCTGTTTCATGTAATTATATTCACAAGGTAGTTAGCGGATATTAGTGGGGGTTTCTTCTACAGCTGATGGCAG